GGGTGCCCTTGGGGGATGAAATAGAGCCATTTTCGGCCGATCCATGAAGGCCAGGCTGAGGCACCACACCGGTGCACGAATTTGTGAGGCCCGGGTAGACAAGGCTCAAAGACATCACTGGAAATAGTTTTCATTTCAATGACCAGCGTTCATTGTTTGATCACCTAAGGTTCGTCAACCAATACTACCCTCTCCAAAAAAAGAACGAATGTTTGGGGGATTATGGGTGTTTTATGCTGATCATCTCTTTCCATTGAGGAATTAAGAGGGATGCCAGGGCATGTCTCCTGAAGGCTTTAGCCAGCTCTGTGTTTGGCTTTAGCATCTGTCTCTGGATGCATTTCAGTTTTTAATTATGTTTAGCACTAAACAGCCCCAAACAAAGCCCAGTGATCATAAAATTCATCTACCATCGCACCAGAGAGAGGCATCTGGAGGGGGACACAGACGGAACCCCAGAAATCAATTTCAGGGCATCCATGGTTGCATTAAAGAGATCACTGACTGCTGATTAAATTCTCCTCTTGCAGGAAAGTGTTTGGAAATGCACATTGAGACCTTTAAGGCTGAGAACTGGGGAGCGTGAGGGATGTGTTTCTAAGGTGTGTTTCTCATATTCAAAATACTGAAGTTCAAGCCCTGCCAACGTTGCTCAGTCGTTGAGCGTCAACCTACCAAGAAGGACTTCATGGTTTAATTCCCATTCAAGGGCATATTCCTGGGTTGCAGGCTCTAACCCCAGTAGGGGACTTGTGGGAGGCGGCCGATCCATGATTCTCTTTCATCATGGATGTTTCTCTCCCTCTCGCTATTCCTTCCTCTCTGAGTCAATAAAAAACTTGAAAAAAATATTAAGCAAGTGTTGCATTCAGATGAAATGCACATTGTTTTAAAATAGTTTATTATTTTTTCGGTTTAACATACCAGGTGGCTAGTAATTTAAAGTGGACCTAGCGCCCGAGCTGGTTTGACTCAGTGTATAAAGCTTCCCTCTTTTTTTCCAACTATATTTTTACTGATTTCAGAGAGGAAGGGAGAGGGAGCGAGTTAGAAACATCTTTGATGAAAGAATCATGGATCGGCTGCCTCCTGCAAGTCCCTAACTTGGGATCAAGCCCACAACCTGGGCATGTGTCCTTGACAAGGAATCAAACCCAGGACCCTTCAGTTCACCGGCCGACACTCTACCCACTGATCAAAACCAACCCGGGCTAATTTGAATTTCAAAGGTCACAAATGCCTTGAAGAAGAAGTAAGCATCTCAGTATTCATGTCCCAGTAATTCCATGAATTCATGGGAATTACAACTCACCTCACCATTCTTTCCACATTGTTCCTGTAACTTCAG